CCCAGTGTGGAAACTCCCTCTCTTAACGTAGACTGGTAATTGGTAGGGAATTGCCTGGGGCCACTGAAATCTTAGTGACTTGGCCAGGGTCATACAACTAGTATGAATCTGAATAAGAATTTGAATCCAGGTTTTCTAACTCCTATCTTGGCCTTCTTTGCTGCCAAATGCATATGCTGTTTGAAAACTCCATAGTCAACATAATTTAGGAATATATTTCCTTGGGTTGCTTTTGGTGGCTATGCTCATAATAGACTTGGCTTTCAGTGTCTAGGCCACAGTTGAAGTAGTTTTGTGCCAATGACTTTAATCTCTTCAGCTGCTTTGTCTGATTTGACAGATATTTGCTGCTATACATATATTTATGTAACTGACATAGCTCTTTTCCTTTTTCATTTGATTGCTTTCAGAGAATGGGCAGGTCACTGAAATGAGATAAACTTTATTCCCCGAAGAGATGATGTAGAATAAAATATGGACACCAAAGAAAATAGTTAATGTGAGAGTATGCCTGTGCCAAATTTTGAAATGTTGGGAAGATGTTAGTAAGTTTCTCAATCGAACAATTTGAAAGCAATCATTTTTTCATATGAATTTTTTTGAGACTCCAAAGAAAAATTTAGAGATAATCTGATAAATTCTGACTCTGAAGTATACCAATGTTGTTTTTCTTAATTCTCCTTCCTTTTCCTTCTCTTTCCCCTTTTTTCAGCTCTTTTATTTCATATGTAGGACTGAATAGGGGTGGGGCAACCACTGTTGCAGTGGGATTCCCTATAGCCTGGTTATATGAGGTTCAGGACACCCTGTAGGTACTATATCCACTTAACAAACTTCGCTCATGAGCAAATATGCTCATGAGTATAAACCAAATATGTTTAACTTTTATTAGAGGATAAAATTAGCTGAAAGCAAAGGCATTCAATGAAGTAGCAGAATAAGACAAGTATGAATAGGACATTTTTTTTCTCCCCTCAATAACAGGGGTATTCTCTTCCACAAGTATATCACCAGGGGGAAAAATGGGCATGACAGGAATGTGTATGTGGTACCATAAATGTGGGAAACGTGTGTGATCAGAGTACACTCTAGGAAATGCCTACAGGTAGAGAATATATATGGCCAGAGGGACAACTTGTGCCTCTGATGCTATAGGGCTGCCATTGCATTTTGGTTGAATCACCAATGTCTTTCAGAGAAAGGAATTCTGCTCTGCCTGCTCAACACTGTATGTAGGAATGAGAGAAATGATTATTAATAACCAATGATTGGGGGAGAACCAGCACCCACTTCCTTTTTCAAAAGTCCTGATTTTAAAAGTTCAGTCTTTTGAAGGACCTTGCTGATAATGAGATTGGACTTTCTTGTTCAGACCCCACTCAGGGAGGGTAGTTATTGTGTTCTACTCAGGCTTGAGTGGGGTATAAATTCTTTGAATAGGTTGCCCAAGGCTGGGGTTCTTAAGAAGTGAATGACTTAATCAAAGTTCAGGTGCAGCCCCTCTTCGTAATATTAACTCTTATTAATTATTAATCAACCAGGGTTGATTCCCTCCCTGGGAAACACCTACTTTTTTAAAGAGTATATAAACTGTGAGCCCAGGGTATATAAACTATGAGCCTGCTGCCATGATTGTCTTTGGTCTAAGAGAGACAGCCAAGAGACCATCATATTATTAATCATTGTGCTGGATTTATTAATAAATTGATTAAATTACCCAGAAACCATGTCTCTTGGAGCTTTTTAAATTGTTACAGTACAGTACTCTGCTGGTGTCACAGCTGCTGTTAGGTACTAATCTCCTGGGTGTGTAGGTGTGGAACTTTTCTGTACCAGACAATTGTTTTTGGTGATCTATATTGAAAAAATCTCTTGCCTCACCCTACTTTCCTCTGTTTTCTGTATTAGTTGTAGACCATGCTCATTTTGTGTATAAGTGTGTATATGCGTGAAAAAAAAATGGGAAATTTTGTCAACAACTGCGGATGAGGCAATGAGTAGAGACGGTAAACAACAAGGCAAAGAACCACAGAGCAGGAGCAAAGGATACCACACTCTTCCCTATGTATTTCAGTTGTATTTCATAAATTCATTTTCCTAGACTACATAAGAATCTGGGGGCATTCCCACTGGCAATGTCATCCTTGTACATCCTTTTTTTAAAAAATAAGGTGAGTATTTTTTTCTAATAATTTCACTCATGTTTCTTGCTAATAATTTTTACTCATGTTTTTATTAATATAGCAGTAAGTACTCTAGGAAATTGTAGATTTGTAAATCCTCTAAACTCCATAGTGTTATAAATGTAGCTTTTCTCAGTGGAGAGCAAATTCAGCAGTTTCTCTTTCTACTGCAATTCTACCATGTAAGCACTTTGTCGGGCATATTTTTCCCTGACCAGTAAAACTTGATGCAAAATACTTGGCTGGATTCTAGGCCCTGTTGAATATTTCATTTCAGTGGGTGTTCTCTACTTCAGTGGGCTTAGAAATATTCCCGTCAGCCATATATTGAGGAGCTTAAAGAACAATATTCTTATATCCTTCTCATACCATGTGCCTCTTTGGTAGAATCTTCCTTTAGCTGGAACAGAGACTTTTAATCACCATGACCTGATTTTCTTTCTCTAGCCCTGCTTTAACTTCTCCTTGTCAGTCATGTTCCATGAGCTGGAGAGTTTCTTGGGAGGTTTGGCCCACTGCAGTTCTTCTTGCAATCATACATAGTTGCTGTTGTGGTTTTTCACAGCTCTTTTTCCTTTGTCATGGCACAAGAGAATCTCCATGCCTACTATGTTCCTATGGTCCTCAGCTCTGGGAAGAAAAAAAGAAACTGTCCCTACCCTCAAGGAGTTTATACTTTATTGAAGAGATACGACGTAACATATAGGTAAGTTCAAAGTATATATATTATCCCCTGTTTGGATATTACTCTTCTCTTCATCCCCACACCTAACTTTGATCGCTATCAGATGGAGTCATCTGTAACACAGTAAAGTGTTAAAGTGAGATCTAGCCAACACCCATAGCAAAATGCATAGCAAAAATGTAACAGATTGTGATGTAGCAAAGAGTCCTGTGATTTGATATGGTGATAGTGAGAGCCACCCACATCAAATCCATTGGATCCAGGGCTGGGGAACCCGTGGCCTTGAATCCTTGTTCTGAAACACTTGTTCTGTGAAATTTGGATTCAGTCAAAGGGCTGCACTTGAGGATATAGAGGGCCACAAGTGACCTCAAGGCCACAGGTTCCCCACCCCTAGATCCATTCATCTGTCTGCCTGTCTGTCTATCTATCTATCTATCTATCTATCTATCTATCTATCTATCTATCTATCTATCTATCTATCTATCTACCTATCTATCTATCTATCTGTCTATCTCATCTCATTTGTTAAGCACCTACTATATGTTAGGTACTGTGCAAGTGCTTTATAAATATTATTTCATTTGAGTCTCACAACAACCCTGGGATATGGGTGCTGTCATTATCCCCATTTTACAGCTGAGGAAACTGAGGCTGAGAGAGGTTAAGTGACCCACCCAGATACACAAGTAAGCATTGGACACCAAATTTGATCTTGTATCCTTCCCTGTATACATTGTGCCATTGAATGATTATACTATTAGTTTTAAAATGCAACTATTTACTTTATTAAAGCAAATGCATAAATACTAAAAAAACAGGAGAGGGAGAACCCTCCTCCTCCTCCTCCTTGTGTTCCTATATAAGTTCCTGTACCTAATTCCTGTCTTGGTTACTATTATCTTTAATAATTTAAATGAGTGCTTCCTAACTCTATAACCTAAAAAGTCACAAGTCCCCAATATTTCCTTATAAAATGTTTATGTGATGGTTTATTTTTTATAGTTTATCCTCTTTAGTCATAAAATATGTGGATGCAAATTAGCTCATAACCCATAATGCTCTGCAGGTCTGAAGTCTTTGACAACATGGTCCATCTCTGGTCCCCTTGAAACTTTACATTCATTCTCCAGGTTTTTTTTTTTTTAAATAAAATATCTTTCTCTGCTTGTAACATAAAGTTTTTTCCACACAAGAAAAATATCATTCTATTTTATTGACAAAGAGATTTGTCTTTATATTTTATACTGCAGATAATTTTCTCTGCAAAACTGTCTAAACCTTATCTGAAAGCTTGTTTTAAACATACTTTATCAGTGTATATTGAAAGTTTTTTTACTACTAAGTATTAATATTTTCATCTATAATAGTAGCAATAGCTTACATTCTTTCATAATTAATTCAAATATTTTCCTTTACACAAAATACTTTTTTTGTTCTTTTCTCCCCCCTCCCACTAATCTGCTGTGTATTTTAAAGGGATAGTGTACTTTACAAATAGAATCTTTGAGTTGGAAAAGTACCTCAAAGATACTTTCTGCCTGAAGTCTGAATCCTTTCTGCAGCAACCCATATGAGTTGTCCTTTTGAAGACCTTTAGTGATGAGACCGTACTATCTTATGAGGGAGACCATTCCATTTTTGTGGATCTTTCCAATTTTCAGGAATTTTTATTTATGTGGAACTGAAATTTGTCTCTTCATAAATTCTATCCATTTATCACCTTTGGGGCCAAAGCAGGATAAGTATAATCTCTCTTCTATGTGAGAACCCTTCAAGTATTTGAAGTCAGCTATCATGTTCCTCATGAATTTTCTTTTCTCAGGCTTTACAACTCCAATTTCTTTAGCTGATCTTCATAGAATGATTTTGGATGTCTTTACCTATTGATTCCCTTCCTAAAATGTGGTACACAGAAGTGAGTAAGATTCTCACTTTTTTCTTTCTGGACTCTGTATTTTGATACTTACATAGATCCATGTTGTCATTAATGGATATTTACTCCTTTCACCAGATTACCCAGAAATAGGTGTTTTATGACATTTTTTTCCTTTTAGCCAATAAACCTTTTATTTATTTTTAGTTTTCAACATTAACTTTTATAAGATGTTAAGATGTAATCTTCCTCCCTCAAAAATATGGAATGCTTCATGAATTTGCATGTCATCCATGCACAGGGGCCATGCTAATCTCTGTATCGTTCCAATTTTAGTATATTTGCTGCCTAAGTGAGAACAACAACATTTTTCAATAGAAGTTTTAAGAATATGGTACATAATGCTTTTAAGACATAAATAAGCACAAGACATAAATAGCAGTTGTAGGTAACTGCTTAGCCTAAGGTACACAAGTGGACCCTCTTTTCTGGCTACAGCCTGAGAGTGGCATGATTAATAGGGAGGTGGATTGTGTGACTGGTGAAGAATGTAGGTGCTACAGGGGAGCCCTATGGGAGGTGGGTGGGCTGAGTCAGAAGACTATATGGCTTGATGGACTTGGCAGGTATAAACCTTACCCATTACAATTTATTTGAAACTTCATGTGAAAGTCAATTTTCTTTATGTCAAATCACTGAATATCACAGTCAATGTATCAGTTGCATCTTGTAGGCAGAATAGAGAGTGAAAAGAAAGTAATATGAACTATGATGAACTCTATCCTGGCAACTGAAAGATCTACATTTTGCCTGTTATTCTCAGTGGCTTGGACTTTATCTAAAGCACTACAGATGCCTTCTATCGATCTAATCCACTAGACTCTAAAGCACTAAACTGAAGTTGTATCATATCAGTCTAATCTACCATCGGTCTAATCTATCTGAGGGCAGGGACATTTTCATTCATATTCGAGTTCAGCCTTGCATGTTCTGTAAGTGTTAGATAAATGTTTGTTAAATTTGACAAATAAAATAAACTGATATTTATTATTTTAATGAATGAAACTTGTAAAATATATGGATAGTATTACTCTTCAGGTGAAGATAAAAGATTTTAACAGACAAGATTTTCTCCCTTGGCTAAGTTATTGGCCAGAATAAGCACTTTAATTCATGTCGTTAACCCATGACCTGTGCTTTGTGGAAATTAATTAGGCAGCAGTTTGTAGGCTGGATTGGGGATGGGGCTGGGGAGGAATTTTGGGGGCAGTGCAACTAAGAAAGGGAAAGGGGAAGAAGAGTTTACTAAGTACCTACTATGTGCTATGTTAAATGCTTTACAAATATTATCTAATTTGATCCTTGAAACAACCCTGTGTGTGTGTGTGTGTGTGTGTGTGTGTGTGTGTGTGTGTGTTATCCCCATTTTATAGTCAGGGAAACTGAGTCAGCTAGAGGTTAAGTGACTGGGCAAGAGCCCACAGCTAGAAAATGTCTGAGGCTGGATTTGAACTCAGGTCTTTCTGACTTCAAGCCCAGAGCTCATTCCACTTCCCCATTTAGCTTTTTTTTTTCCCACTTAAGAGTATTTTATTTTTTTCTAATTACATGTAAAGATAGTTTTCAACATTCACTTTTATAAGATTTTGAGTTCCAAATTTTTCTCCCTCCTCTTCCCTCCCTCTCCCTAAGCAATATGAAGGTTATACATGAACAATCTTATTAAATATATTTCCACATCTTATTAAATATATTTCCACATTAGTCATGTTGTGAAAGAAGAATCAGAACGAAAGGGAAAAATCATGAGAAATAAAAAGCAAAAGTGAAAATAATGTGCTTTGATCTGCATTCAGACTAAATAGTTCTTTCTCTGGATATCGATAGCATTTTCCATCATGAGTCTTTTGGAATTGTCTTGAATCATTGTATTGAGGAGAAGAGCTACGTCTATCATAGTTGATCACTGCACAGTGTTGCTGTTACTGTGTATGATGTTCTCCTGATTCTGCTCACTTCACTCAGCATCAGACCATACAAGTCTTTCCGGGTTTTTTTGAAGTCTGCCTGCTCATCATTCCCTTTTTGTTCTTTTTTTGGTGAGGCAATTGGGGTTAAGCGACTTGCCCAGGGTCACACAGCTAGTATCAAGTATATGGTCTGAGACCAGATTTGAACTCAGGTCCTCCTGAATCCAGGGCCGGCTCTCTATCCACTGCGCCATGTAGCTGCCCATGCTCATCATTTCTTATAGCACAATAGTATTCCATTACATTCATATACCACAGCTTGTTCAGTCATTCCTCAATTGATGGACATCCCCTCAATTTCGAATTCTTTGCCACCACAAAAAGATCTGCTATAAATATTTTTGTACGTATGAGTCCTTTTCCCTTTTGTATGATCTCATTGGGATACAGACCTATTAGTGGTATTGCTGCATCAAAGAGTATGTACATTTTTATAGCCCTTTGGGCATAGTTCCAAATTGTTCTCCAGAATGGTTAGATCAACTCACAACTCCACCAACAATGCATTAGTGTTCCAATTTTCCTACATCTCCTCCAGCACTTATCATTTTCCTTTTCTGTCATATTAGCCAATCTGATAGGTGTGAGGTGGTACCTCAGAGTTGTTTTGATTTGCATTTCTCTAATCAATAGTAATTTAAAGCATTTTTTCATATGACTATAGATAGCTTTGATTTCTTCATTTAAAAACTGCTTGTTCATTTTGTTTGACCATTTATCAATTGGGGAATGACTTGTATTGAGCATTGAGTATTGATTCGGTTCTCTATATATTTTAGAAATGAGGCCTTTATCAGAAACATTGGCTATAAAAATTGTTTCCCAGCTTTCTGCTTTCATTCTAATCTTGGTTGCATTGGCTTTGTTGTGCAAACCCTTTTTAATTTAATGCAATCAAAATTATCCACTTTGTTTTTCATAATGTTTTCTATCTCTTATTTTGTCATAAATTCTTCCCTTCTCCATAGATCTGACAGGTAAACTATTCCTTGCTTTCCTAATCTGCTTATGGTATCAACCTTTATGTCTAAATCATGTATCCATGTTGACCTTATCTTGGTATATTGTGTGAGATATTGGTTTATGGTTAGTTTCTGCCATATTATTTTCTGGTTTTCCCAGCAGTTTTTGTCAAATAGTGAGTTCTTATCTTAGAAGCTGGAGTCTTTGGGTTTATCAAACTTTAGATTACTATGGTCATTTATTACTCTGCCTTGTGTACCTTACGTATTCCACTGATCCACCACTCTATTTCTTAGCTAGCACCAAAAAGTTTTGATGATTGCTGCTTTACAATATAGTTTTAGATCTGGTATGGCTAAGCCACCTTCCTTTGCATTTTTTCATTAATTCCCTTGATATTCTTGACCTTTTATTCTTCCAGATGAATTTTGTTATTATTTTTCCTAGCTCTATAAAATAATTTTTAGGTAGTTTGATTGGTATGGTACTGAACAAGCAAATCAGTTTAGATAGAATTGTTATTTTTATTATATTGGCTCAGCCTACCCTTGAGTAATTAATATTTTTCCAGTTGTTTAGATCTGATTTTATTTGTGTGAAAAGTGTTTTATAATTGTGTTCATATAGTTCCTGGGTTTGTCTTGGCTGGTAAACTCCCAAATATTTTATATAGTTTACAGTTATTTTTAAGTGTAATTTCTCTTTCTATCTCTTACTTTGTTGGTGATGTATAGAAATGCTGATGATTTATTTGGGTTTATTTTATATCCTGCAACTTTGCTAAAGTTGCTCATTTAGCTGTTTCTTAATAGCTGTTGAATGAAGCCTACTGCAATGATTGGGCAAGAGTCAGTGTTCAACTGAACCAGAATTCTGGCAGTGGGAATAGAGAAAGGAGAAAGATATAAGAGATGTTATGAAAGTAATAGCATTATGACTTAGCAACTGATGAGATATGGGAATAAGAGAAAAGGAAAATTCAAAGATTAGATGGAAGTTTCCAGCCTAGGGGATGGCAATAATGGTGTTCTTATTGTCTGAGATGATGAACTTACCATGCATAGGGGTGAGGCTAAGAATAATGACCCTTTCCTTGTTTTATATTCTCATTTTTACTAATAATTTTATTGTTTAAATATGAACTCAGACATAGATTTACAGATACATTTGGTTGTGAATGAAATGGATACTCCTTGAAATATTTACTTCAGAAGGACTCACATTTCCTCTGACAGAAGAATATACCTTAAAGATTACCCAGTAATTGGTGTATACCTTGGGAAATAGTATAATTGGCTTACCTTACTGTTTGCTGATCTGTACTGAAAACAATAAACTGATTCAGTAATAGTGTTAGAGAACACGGCTATCATATTTGTCGTGGGAGAGCAAACCCAGGCATCTTTTGGCTGAACCTTGTGCAAAAAAGGTATTATTGTCATATTTATTCATGTAATATTTCCCAGGAGACAATTGCTTCCCTTGTTCTAGGTCAATTACTTAAACTCTTGTGCTACCCTTTCTGCTTGTAAACGACAGTAACCTGTTTAGTGAGCAATAAATAAAGTTTTAACTTGTAAGGTCTTTGGTTAATGAGAAATTAATATTCTTAGTGCTCCTTATGTTGTTCCTTAAACTTCAGATAGCCTTTTGTTCTCATTGTAAGTCAAATTATTGGTTTAGGTTGCGTGTCCCAAAGGTAGATGAGTTTACAAAATTTTCCCAGATGTTGTTATTACCCTCACCTTCCAATAAAAAAACAATAGAACTGACAGACTTTTTCTTCTACTTTTTCATGAGAAAGAAAGAAAGAAAGAAAAGAAAGGAAATTTTGACTGCTAGATTGACTTGGGGTAATCCTGATTTCTGTAATGTTCTTGGAATAGTCATCTTAATGTATTGTGCTGGCTGCCTGGATGAGCCAGCTGGTTAATTCTGTACTCTGTCTCATATTGTAAAATGTTTATGTTTCCCCAGCCTTCCTTCTACTCAGGGACAAAGAGAGGGCCTTTATTTTGTTTCTTTTGATTTGTAGGATTTGACCAATTTGTAATTGGATGCCCCCATGTCAGAAGAAACATAATAAAAGAGAGAAATGGACATGAAGAAAATTATTCTAGCCATATAGATGTGCAACTTTTTGGCAAGTTTCAGTCTTCTTAGAGAGTTGCCTAAAGCCCTGGGAGTTTAAATGACTTGCCCAGAGTCATATAGGCAGGTGGGACTTGTCAGAGGTAGAACTTGTACTCAGACCATCCACGTGAATGGTTATGCCTCTCTGTCTGTCCCTTTTTGATTTATTTTAGAGCCAGGTATGGAGCTAAGTGCTGGGGATACAAATAAGAAAAAGAAATACAGTCCTTGCCCTC